AGAATAAAATGGAATTGTGGGTCTCACACACTCGTGGGACCAATATGCACATATGGATGCGCCAAAATGAGCGAAGTTGATCCCCATTTTTTTTCATTAGAGAAAAGACAAGCATCCGACTTTATAAATAAAGCCACCAAACAGAGTACCGAAACCAACGGAGCAAAATTAAGTAGCATACATACCAGACACAATAGCGTATTAAGAGTAGAAAACAGTTTAACAATGGCACACATACCAACTACCTACGACCAAAAGACTACAACATCTTAGAGGTAAAACATAAAACCACGTCTATCATGAGGAAGCAACATGATCTTGCTGAAGGAGGGTAGACGCCGTTGATTGAACATGGGACTCCCCATATGAGAGTATTAGATAATTTTATGCTGCAAACATATAAGACTTTGTCTACGGTGGTGCTCTTTGAGTACTAAGGGCCTGTTCGATGGCTCCCCAACTACTGCAAAACCTTGAATCACACTTCTCGTTTCCACCGCCAGCTTCCGATGGGAGCCCTAGCGATAAAAATACGTTCGGCTCCTCGCTCCAGCTTCTGGTACTCTCCAGCAGGCCAATCTGCCTAGACCGGCTGAAGCCCAACCGGCTCAAGAGGTAACACGGCCTTAGGCCCAGTCGAACACATTAGCAGATGCGAGATAGAAGTAGCGAACCGGTACGTGAACCCCTGGAGTCACCCAAACTGCCGCTCCGCCTTTTTGTACATGAACGTAGCTTCAATCCGGAAAGCTGGGCTTCTTGGAGCTGGACCTTTCGGGCCAGCTTCCCTTGTAGATTTGCTAAAGCTAGAAGCTGGCGAGCTACCGAACAGGCCCTAATTTTTGAATTTTGACAATCTTAGATCTGGTCTTCACGCACCTTGTTGAAGGCATTTTCCTTGAGCTTATCGAGTCCTTTTTTTCTTGATGAAAACCGGTGATCTAACACTATTTTCTCGTTGAAAACATTAATATCAGGGAACCTTGTCAACAACAATGGTAAAGTTGATTTGTGGATTATTCGCCATGTCTTACTCATGCGTACTGCATTTATATCCACAGAATGCGAGAGCGACATTTCCAAAAAATAAAGGCCATGTGTGTCCTTAAAAGTAAAAAATAAAAATAAACAAGAAATGTGGCATTATAATGCAGCGAAAGTCCACACACATACCACGCTTAGTCAAAGTCACCGGCGACACACAGACACGCCGATAGATACTACTCCCTCTGTAAACTAATATAAGAGTGTTTAGATCACTAAAATAGTAATCTAAACACTCTTATATTAGTTTACGGAGGGAGTAAGTGTCAATGGCGGCAACGAGGCCTGGAGTGGGAGAGGCCGCAGAGCGCAGGAGCGGGGAGCAGCGAGCATGGCGAGCCCATGGGACAGCCCTTCGACCAGCCTGTGGGGCACGCTGGGGCAGGCCTCCAACGTGGCGCAGCTGGTCGGCGTGGACGCGCTGGGGCTGGTTTCCATGGTCGTGCAGGCCGCCCTGGCGGCGCACCGCCACCGGGACGCCTGCGTGCGCCTCGCGCAGCACGCGGAGCTGATGCGGCGGGAGGCCACCAGGCGGCCGCTGGAGCAGCTCCGCGGCGCGCTGCGGCGGTGCTACGAGCTCGTCACGGCGTGCCAGGACTGCGGGTACCTCCGCCGCCTGCTTCTGGGTGCACGGATGGCCGACGAGCTCCGCGCCGCGCAGCACGAGATCGACATGTTCATCCGCCTCATCCCGCTCATCTCCCTCGTCGACAATTCGACAAACAGTCGTCGTACCAAGGTAGGCGTGTTCCGGCTTGTCGCCGGTTAGTAGTTGCAACTTTCTTGGCGCTTATGTGGAAGTTCGTATGAAAATTGAAACCCATGGTAGTATGTGATTATGGAGTTATTTTATTTATAAAATTCGTTAAACTGATCTGTTCAAGTGATCCTCGGCATGATATGAATTTATAATTATGCTTGAATTGGGTGTAACTGCAAATTTGGTACTTCCAGTTACACAATTCGATATCAATTTAGCAATTCTGATTTTGTTTATAGAGCACCTCAATCACAGAACCTCTGCTGGTTGATTTTACATTGGTAATATTTGTCACTTAATCATGCTGATCCTTGTCTAGCAGGCCGAGGAGGGGGTGCTCAGTGTTGTCACAGACAATTCAAGTAGTCACATCAGGTCAGTTAATTTCCGTTGTGTATTTTATCATCGTTTTTTGAAATTTAAATCCAAAGTTTTGTGGCGTCTTTGATCAAACAATAACGTGGGAGGTTAACCACTTGTTATCTGACAAAGTGACAAGTGCAACCCAGATGACTGTTGACCATATTAGGTTGACTAGTGCCACCGCTTGGTTTAGATTACTAGAGTAAAATCTGGTTCAGAGCTACATGCTACAAACCTACACCATATATGTAGATTAAATGTCTGAAATGTAAGCTGTGCATCAGATCAATGACTTTGTTTGACTTTAAATGCTATCAGCTGTTTGACTTAAAATATACTATGTTTTGACAAATTTCTACTAGTTTATTTGTCATTAAGCATCCTTCTTATGTTCCTTTTTAGGATTTTTTCCCCTTATATTGAATCCCTGTGAACTGTGAAGTCAAGTTATGTAGCTGTGCCATAATTTAATAAGTTATACAGACTCAAATGTCTGAAACTTGCCACCTTTTAGGAGTGTGTTGAAACCATCTCCAGCAAGAGCTTTGGAATTCTCCGAAATAAAGGTTCAAGGAGCTACTGAACTTTGCATTGTTGAAGAAAAAACATCTGTAGGTAAGTAGTTATTTATGAATTTCCTAATGCACTTAAGCATGAACTTAGGTATGCAATTAGTAGAGTGAAGTTTCATGCCAATGTTATTTGTTTTCAAGGATTTTGAATTGCTTTGTTATGTCTGTGTGCTGCTGCCATACCCTGCAGCTCATGTTTTTGGATATATTGCAACAGAGATGATAAAAAAAAGTCCGTATGAATAATTTAATATATACTCCCTCCGTTCCGAATTACTTGTCTTAGATTTGTCTAGATACGGATGTATCTAACACTAAAATGAGTCTAGATACATCCGTATCTAGACAAATCCAAGACAAGTAATTTAGAACGGAGGGAGTATAAAATTATACATGTGCATACTTTTTCATGACAAACATTGTGTCACCACTCACCACATCAAATTTTACTGTGTCACATGTCATGGTGATAGCACTAGCTAGTGGAAACAAACATTCATCACATATTTTCCTCTGTTATTACGCAAATGAAATATATGACTTTGAATGATAACAACATCATCAATATCTTGCATGACTTCGTCTATTATAATCTCCATTTGTTTTCATATGATGGGAAGTCCCTAATTAGGCTGAGTTGATGATCACTAGAAAAAGCAAACTGAGGCATGCTCTCAATTATTGTGTATTCTCTTAGTCATGTAAAGGTTCTTTGCAATCCCATTAGTGACATGGATAAATTATCCATGAATCAGGAAAAGTTAACATGCAAGAACAGAAAATCTTCAACATTGAAGAACTCACTGAGCTTTGTACCCGTATAGAAGAAACTTGTGTGGGATTTGCAAAGTTCAACTTCTTTCAGATCGTGGATGCTACAGACAATTTCTCAGAGAGGAGAATACTTGGGCTTGGTGGATTCGGTACAGTTTATAAGGTAAATATGTGCCAATATCCAAACTAACTAACAAAGTGAATACCCGTCCTCCTTGTCTTCCCAATTAAGACCTGATTTCTGTTGATAGAATGTTATTTGAACTCCCTTAGTAACCATTGCAGGGTCAGTTGCCCAACGGACTTATGATTGCCATCAAAAGACTTGATGAGCATGCAACCGTATTTGATTTCGATAGTGAATTTCAGCTTGCGAAGCTTCAGCATGCCAATCTGACTAGGTTGCTAGGGTGGTGCATTCATGGGAAAGAAAGGATTCTTGTCTATGAGTTCATGCAAAATGGTTCCTTGGACCATTACATATCAGGTGCATTTTCTGTATTATCAGAGATATCTTTCAAGCACACCTCCTTTAATTCCTAGTAAATGTGCATGAATTCAAAACATCTACAGTTAAATGGAGGGCTACAACAAATCTAGTTTTCACCTGATTCTTTGTTGCTCGAATCATAAAAACTATTCTAGTTTGGTTTAGAGCAATATACATCAATAGTTGATAGAAGTTGCAATTTGATTATCTTTTGCAGAAAGAACAAAAGGACAAGTGCTGGACTGGTCTAAGCGATTCAAGATAATTACAGGGTTAACAGAGGGCCTTGTTTACCTGCATAAAGGCTCCATGTCCTGCCTTGTCCATAGAGACTTGAAACCACATAGATTGCTGATTTTGGATCAGCTAGGACACTGAGTTCAGATGTAGCAGAAGAGCGCACGAGTAGGGTTGTGGGAACCAGGTATCAGCTGCCTACAATATCAATAATCACACATTCCCATCATTTGTTTTCAGATGTTCTAATCTTACAGTTTTGGCATCCTTTGTTTCACTTTTCAGTGGTTACAAAGCTCCAGAGTATGCATCTCAAGGAGTTTACTCGCTGAAGGCAGATGTGTTCAGCTTTGGCATCTTGGTTCTGGTGATTATTAGTGGCCGAAAGAATACCATACTCAACAAGCAAGGGGATACTGTTGGTGATCTTGTACGAGATGTGAGTGAAAACATACATTTCAAGCAACATTTTTTCTCCACTCTCAGTATTAGAAAATAGACTTTCTGCATGTTTTTACTAAAGTGGTGAGTTTTAACCTATACCATTACTTGGCATCAAAAGTTGTGAACTTTTCTAATAGGGTGTGGAAAAGCAAGACTTATTTTAATACCTGGGCCATATAAATTGCATTGCATCTCTTTAAAGTCAAATGTATTATATATTTCAGGCCTGGCATATGTGGAAGGACCAAAGGTTGCATGAGCTTGTGGATCCGTTGTTAGGGGACAGATATGAAGTCGCTGAGATAACGAGATGCGCTCAAGTGGCACTGCTTTGTGCCCAGGAAGATCCAGCAGACCGGCCTGCCATGACAGATGTTGCTGCAATGCTGAACTCTGAAAACATAAGCTTACCAATGGAGCCTAAGCAGCCCACCGCGCTGATCCATGGGTGTGCCGACAGAGACACGGCATCGACATACATGAGCCAATCAGGCAGGACAATAGACATAACCATAACGAGTTCAGCTCCAATGTCGACTAGAGTTCGAATCATTCTAGACCCGGAGGTTTGATATGACGGAGAACATTCAGTAGCATATATAATAGTAAAAAAAATGTAAGTGAGGATTATGGGCTTTTTATGGCTCAGGTATCGTACATATTTGAGATATCAAAGATCAGTTATGTGGAGTAAAAATAAACATGTGTGTGTGTGTGTCGTACCAGCTACCAGACTGATTTTCCATGAGCTACATTGTAATTCAAACGTATAATGTTTCATGTTTTTTTCTGCTGCTACTCTAGCCAGTTCTCAGTGACGTTTAGCCAGGTTTGCTCATGTTTGGGAACAACTGTTTGCAAACCAAAACCGAAACTTAGCCGGCACATTCAATTTGGGAATGAGAAAATCATCAAACTTCAAGTTGGCAAGCAGCAAAGAGCTCAGAGTTCCACACACATCAGGATCTCAAAATAAGTTGGCAAGATAACAATGCACCATGCTGGTTAAGATTTTAACTCTGAACCGAAGGCCTGAAAGTTAACAAAGCATAATAAGGAAAACAATGCTACAAGCAGGCATTCTTCTGCAGGTCTTTTTTTTTTAGAGATGCATTCTTCTGCAGGTCATTTTCTGAGGATGCAAGAAGTCATTTGGCCTGGGCCGACTCAGGATTCAAATTGCTCTTCTGGGCTGTATGCAAGAAGTCATTTGTGCTTTCTCTGAGGCGTTGGAAAGGTGGCTATGCATGCCTGGGCTGACTCGGATTCAAAAACGAAAGTGCGCGTTTTAGGTATGCCTGGGCCGACTTCGACTCGGATTCAAATTGTTTGCCGCGTCTCCAGCGTCCCTGTTTTCTTGATCGCCCCCTTTCCCCCAAATCACGATCCATCTGACCTCCCCTCCAATCCATCTTCCTCTCTCTCCCAACGCCGGATCGTTGCTCCTCGATCAACTCTGCGGCCGCGACCATGGCCGGCACCACGGTGCTCCCGCCGTCTCTGCTCCCGCGCCGTAGCGCCGCTGCCGCCGCCGACCTGCACTCCTGCTCCTCCCGCGTGCGCGTGAACCCCGCCTTGATGGCGAACCCCGCGGCTGCCAAGAGGCCAAAGCGCCCCGGATCCGTGCGCGGCGAGCAACCGCCGCCGGCGAAGCGCGTACGCGGTGCCTGCTCCGGGGGCGAGCTCCATGCCGCGGTCCCCGCCAACATCAAGAACGGCAGCAAGCTTCCGTCTCCCAGCAGCGGCAAGGATCCGCTCCACTCCTCCGGGATCAAGAACCAGGTCGCCGAATCTCCGGCGAGCGCGACGCAGTCGAAGCCGCCGATCAGCATGCGCCAACTGATTGAGAATGCTCGCCTCGTCATGGATTGGGCTCACCCTGCCACCGAAGAAGAGGCCAGCCGTCGGCGGGACATCGAGCGCAGCAGAGCGGAGGCCCGGCGAAAGGTGGAGCAGATGGCGGACACGGTGCAGTTCAACGACCCCTGGATCCATTACTCCGACGTGACCAAGTCCCCCGAGGAGCTGCTCCAAGCAAGACAGCACGCATGGCGTTATCAAGCTCACCGCATCGAGATGGCTCGTCGACGGGACTTTGCTCAAGCAATGCAAATCTACGGATGAGCGCTCGGGTGATGGAAGCAGAGGAAGAAATCATCAGCAGTGCAGCCTTGTTGATCAAAGCAGAAGAAATCATCAGCAGTGCAGGCTTGCTGGTGGTAGTCATGCATCAGAGGAAGCAAAGCAGAGCAACCAATTCCTTTCTTGAGTCCGTGTGGGTGAACCTTCGAGTTAAGCTAGTCCTTCCTAAACCATTCACACATGAGTTTCATTTAATCTTTGCATCTCTAGGTTCTGCACTTAATCACCAAGATTTCTAGTGTTCTTTCAATCCCTTTCAGCCATTAGTAATTTTACAAGAGTGTCAGCAGAGTCTCCATCTAGCTAGGCAGCAAAAACCTTGTTAAGATGTGTACGGCATAGTTACACTACATCCACACCTGGTCCTAAGTAAGGGTTTAAGTAAATAAAGGGCATTTTCAATAAATCAAAGTAAAACAGATGAGCCTAAAAAGGAAGCTCATGTACTGCAATTCTGGCACGAGACAGAGCGTAAAATGCACTCGCCGCAAAATCCAAAACGCCCGTTTGCTACCCGGCTTGTAGCAGGAAAAAAGGAGTAGAATTGAACTTGTCGATACACACAGTAATCATGTGAGCTGCCTAGCGTCTGGAGACTATGCTGACCCTCTTGTAAACTTAATCTTGGCTGACTTGGATTCTTAGGCATTGGCGTCGTGGTGAGTTAAAGTTGCAGTTTCTGACGAGTAGCATTGGTTGGTGAACTCTTGTGTGTATGTGTGAGTGAAGCTTTGAGCTAAGCAAGTCCTTGATGTACCGACTATCAAGTCATACTGTAATCAATTTTGGATTTGAATGAGAAAATTGTTGGTCTGAATTTTGCAGAGCATTTGAGTAATCTTTTCGTATCTATTTATTCTTGTATGCTTCTGTGGCTTCTTAAAGCATTCTGCTGCTCTAGTCGGAAAAGTGTGTACTGAGGCACAGATCCAATGGAGGCCCGGCGAAAGGTGGAGCAGATGGTGGACACGGTGTAGTTCAACGACCCCTGCATCCATCACTCCGACGTGACCAAGTCCCCTGAGGAGCTGCTCCAAGCACGACAGCAAGCATGGCGTTATCAAGCTCAGCTCATCGAGATGGCTCGTCGATGGGACTATGCTCAAGCGATGCAAATCCACGGATGAGCGGTCAAGTGATCGAAGCAGAGGAAGAAATCATCAGCAGTGCAGCCTTGTTGGTGGTTGCAAGTGTGTAGTAGTATTTCACTGGCATGTTTTTCAGTAGTGCGAGTGAGATTCTTAATTTGGCCATCAATTAGTGTGCATGATGCATCATCTGAATTCAAACTACACAGCTTCATTCGAAATCAACTCAGCTACAATGAGAAATGTTGGCAACATCCACAGGTATTGCAGTTCCTCCTCTGTACCTTCAGCGTCATCTGCAACTTCTCGGATTTTTTTCCTGAAGAGAAATCACGAGTGCGCACTTTAACATGCTTGGAAATGGAAAAATTAGCTCTGCTCTATCCAAATTTTGTAGCTCCTGGGGTGACAGATTCTTTTTCCTCTGTGAACGCCAGTAGTTTGTATGTATCTTGTCTGCTAATAAAGGGGCTTATTTGTAAGAGCTAGACCTCCTTTTAGCAGAGCTTGGAACGTCAAGATGATGTAGGCACAAAACAGTCCTGAACTTGTAGCAGCTCTGAACTTCAGGGTTAATATTGATGTTTCCTTCACTAAATAGCACTTGTCATCAGTAGGTAAATGAACTACTAGTTAAAAAGATAGTATGATCAACTTGAACGGTCAAAACTTGGCCTTTGCCCCCATTTGGCCATCACCAGTCATTTATCTCCAATTCTCAAGGCAAAACTTCCAGCAAAACATTCAGAATACTAGCCATCGCGGACGTATGGGACTAGTTGTTCTCCATTGTCACTATACAAACAAGGCCATTCTTCATTCCAGTTTTTATTTATTTCATTTCTTTTCTTTCCTTCATCATAAGTGGCTTGATCCAAAAACAAAGCTCGCAGCCAAGAACTATGTATATGTAGCACTATTGATCCTGTTTTCTACTACATCCAAAATAGTGATCTCAGAATCTCACCTGCATCAATCAAGTTTCTGAGATCATAGATGGCAAACCAAAACTTGCGAACCATCCCCAATAGCAAGCAGAAGCCATTATCCCTAAAATCGCAATCTGTCATGTTAGAGTACCTTTCCTCGAAGATTAACAGGGCCGTAGGCATTTCACATTTCACATTTTTCTGAAAATAAGCTCATGGGATTCTGGTAAATAACTAATCCTACCACCAAAAAGTATTTTCTTCAGAGCACTCCAAAGTCCGGATACATCCGAGTCACTCATAAATAAATCCTTATTTTTACATTGCATTAATCACAGTATTGAGTGTTAAAATATTGAACATCACTTATTCATATCGCCTAATTTCTAGAACAGGGCGATCGCTTCGTCTGCACAATTATTTCTACAAGGCCTCCAAGAATTATGTTGTACTATATGGAAATGCTCACTGCTATTCCACTTTCGGTCATCTCATGGAACATTTTCCTTCCAGTAACAGTTCTCCCAGCATGAAAAACCCCATCCAGTACGATGCCATATGTAACAGTGTCGGGTGTAATTCTCTTATGCAAGATTTCTCTGAACAGGGTTGGACTGCTATTGATCTTTCCTTTTTTACAATAGCAATCAAGAAGTGTACTGTAAGTAACAACATTAGGCTGAACACCAACTGATTCCATGGCATTGGCATCAAGTAATCTGAATGTTTATCCATCTTGCCGGCTAAGCAATATCCATTAACCAGCGAGTTAAATATAATGACACCAGGCCTCTCACCTATGCGTATAACCAGGTGGAAGATATCGTGTGCATCCATAACCCTTCCTTCGATGCATTGACTGTGTATTACTGAACTGAAGAATACTATGTCAGGACGAGGAACACCTCTGTTTATCATTTCACAAACCAACTCCTTAGCTTTAACCAAATCACCATTTATACAAATTAGGGACTTACAAACAACTGTGTCTGGCTGTACTCCCGTACAATCATCTCACTGAATTTTTCCATAGCATCGACCAGCCTACCCATGCTACAAAGTGCAGCTATTACAGTTGCGTAGGTGAATACATCCGCAGTCATTACTTGTTCCTGGATATCTAGTTTGTGGCCCTTGACAGTCATGGAATCATAAAATTCTGCAGCTTCTTTGCTTCTTCCATGCTTGCAAAGGGAACCGAACGAGTTGAAAGTAAAAACGTCTGGTATAAGACCCCGGCTTGTTATTTCTCTGAACATTTCAGCAGCGCCTTTCCATTGCCCTGATGTGGAATATCCATGGATGACACAATTACATGTGTCTTTATTCGGCCTTGCATCGCACATCAATGACCGAGCTACATGTCACTGCATTAGGCACAACCCCTTGTAGCA